AAGCAAAAGGATTAGTGAAGGTAAAGAACGTAATGGGTTTGATCCAGTATATTGAAATGTGACTTAACTTCCTAAATTGTGAGATACCCTATGCTAACTCCAGCCTCTGACAGGATTACATTAAGTAATGATCAAAGAACAAGAAACTTGCCACTCAAGCAGTCTTCAGTGACAGACTTCTCTGAAGATAAATGCTTCTACAAGGCTCCAGGAAAATTTTTACATGATGCAAGTATTAAGATACTGTCCATAAAACTTAATATTATAATAAATCTTTTAAACCTCATCATCCTCTTACAAGAGTTTAAAAAAAAAAAAAGAAGTAAATTTGCATCTCTGAGAAAGGGGATTACTACTAAAAGTTTGGTACTGATTTCTTTATTCTGTTCTACAATGAACACACAACTGAAAAAATTCAAAATGTTGTCACAGCTCCATGGAAATATGCATTACATCACACATGCACTACTTTTAGAAATGCTAATATTCGTCATTTCAAAAAAATCAGAGAGAACTGTCAAAAACGTACATAGATAATTAAATTAGTAAAAAATCTTATTCAAAGGAAAAAAGATTTGAGCTTACAGGTTTGATGGTCATGTAGAAATTTGTATCAAATTGTTAAACCCTGTTTGGTTTTGATCACTGCATGAAATATAAGTGCAAAGCTTACTATCTAAGGTTTTATTTTTTAATTGTGAAGATAAATACTTGAATGATTTATTTTCCAATTGCTTGATCCAAGATCAAAACAGCAATTTAACTTTTAGAAAGCACCAGACCTCCCATTAAACATTTTTACCTACATCTGTTTAGTGTAGTTTTGTAAGCACCTGCTGTATGGTCACTAAAGTTTGGGACATAGTTGAACAAAGATCACGACAATTACTTTTTTCTTTTGTAATTAAAAAAAAAAAAAAAACAGTTGCATTACTGTTTGGGCCAAGAACTAGATTAAGAGCTAGAAATGACTAAGTATTTATCTCAGCTGTGATAATGCCCTGCTGCATGACCCTGGTTCCTGTCTGGATTCTTATCTGCACTAGAAACAGTAATATGCACAGAGTGCGTATCTCCAAAAAGATACACAATCATACTAACAAATAAGATTTGAAGCAAGAGCAGGCATAATTAATACCAATGGCACATTTCTTTCTAATCCACTGAGTTTGAGCAAGAGCTTTCTCCACATGACTCCAGCCTCCCTTTTCCCCCCCCAGTCAGGATGCCACTCCAGGGCTGCCATGCCAGGTGCAGAGACTTATTAAGTGACGAAAATGAAAGAGGCAACAGAGGCCAGAAATTCCCAGGGATACAGAGATCCCATGCAATTATGGGGATGCTCAGACCTGCCCCAGGTAGACAGCCAGCCGAATGTTCTCGGGCTGCCACCGTGGCCTTTGCCCATAGCAGAGCCACCTCCTCCATCACTTCGTGGGCAGCAGTGCTATTTTGCATCCGGAAAAAAACAAAAACAAACAAACAAAAAAAAACCAAACAACATTTGAGAAATGTTTTGCCAACTACACACTTATCCTCAGGATCTCGCTGGCTAACTGTGCTGTAGAAGGGAAAAGCCCAGTGCCAGCAGAACCTTGACATGGCTGCTGGACACCCCTGCGAGTAGAAGCCAGACCTCAGTCTGTTCACCTACCTAATGAGAGCGATCCAACATACTTTCTTGCATATATATCACGAGAACAAATTCACGTCATTATGCACTTTGAAGGTATACACAGAAATATAAACCTGTTCAGTTTGAGTGAGAAGAACACTGTCAGCATATGTTCACTGTATTTTACTGGAAGAAGGAAAAAAAAAAAAACAAACCACCCCAACTTTAAATACTTATTCTGCAAGAGACAAGTGCTTTTGTGAAACAATATTGCTCTGTGAGCTACAAAAACGTAGTAAAGGAGTCTAAATGGTAACTCCTTCACTAAAGAAACGAACCAGACAATCCACTTTTAACATTAGTTCATTCAAGAGGCAATGGAGGGGAGGGAGGGGGACATATCCACAATAATTTGAATGTCAACTATCCTGAAGATATACAGTTAAATTAAGTACTAGGGCTCTTTTACTTAAGATGCATAAGAGGAAGGAAGAGCCTCAAAGATGGTAACAATCATTTAAAATACTACTTAAAGTATCTGCACACAAATCTTTATTTAACGGCCAGTTGCAGGGACTTCTACTGAATGAGTTCCAGCAATAACAAGCAGGGAGCTCCATGTGAGAAGTACATGCAAGCTCGTGTCACAACCTAATGGGTAATGTTTTCTAAAAACAAAGATTAACCTTAATCATAAATAGTAATCATAGTATATTTAATGTGCAGAGATTTACATTTTAAGGAGTTAATGGAGATTGCGTAGATAATTCCCCTTAAAAGCAAACACAAGAAATCTTCTATTTAATCATGAAAGGAAAAATTCTGAGCTGGGATAATGCAACACCCAATTTCAATACCTATAGGATCTAAGTTTTCTTTAGAAAGCAGAAAACTACCTGTGTCTGAGAGATTAGGCTTTTAAAAACTTAATGTCATGTTGAATACTCTAACATCATTCCACTGGAGCCTGACTGAAGTCCTTGCAGACCAGCTGGAAAGCACCCAGCCCTCCCTGGGCAAGCAGGGCTCACAAAAGGTCCATCAGGCTACATTCAGCATCTGTCAAAGAGCATTTAGCAATAGGCTGGAGAGTGAAATACAACACTGCGTTTATTCATTAGCATTATGCCAGAGAGGAAATCTGCCGGCAAGTTTGTAAACACTTTTCCCACTTTGGCAGAAAACGTTATTGCAAGTTCTTGTCAAATAAAAGTTTCATTCAAAAACCTGCCTCCTTATCCTGCCCATTCTCAGATGGGCTGACATGAAGGGTTACATTACAAAGCCTGTTTTTCAAGACCGTTGGGAACCAACGCCATGTATGAGCAGACTCACATAGGTAAGAGTTAAACCTAGGCACAGAACAAACCATACCTCAGAAAAATTCATTATTTTACCAGACTATAATGGAACATGGAAAAATATAGGCACCCAATATTCATTTACTTGTCAAACAGGCAGCTGGTTATCGTGTTTTGATTTCTTAGTCATCTGTTGAGTTACTAATTACTTTTTGCTACACCAAGTACTGAGAGTATGACACTTCCCAATTAGGAGCTTACAGTCTACAAAGCAAGGATTGGTATTTCAATTCAGACTGCTGAAAACCAGGACTCTCTTTATATATTCCTAATTAACTGACATAAAAGCAGACTTAGGAATGTGCTGTTGATTTATGAAGTTTATACCATTTCCCATCCAATGCTGATCAAAATATACATTCATAAATCTGAGGTTTGTGTAACCAGGTTTGCAACGAGAAACTATACATGCAGAGACACGCATGCGCTCCATGTGGTTGGGAACATAAAGAAATAAATCAACATGAAGAAAAATCCTAATGAGGACATCATTTGTTGACTAATCACAATCCTGCAAATGTACCGCACTGACTCCTTCCATCAATAACTGACAATCTCTGAAATTGTTCAAGAAGCCACTAACTTGGTCCTTCTTAGACCAAAGGTGCTGAGTCCCTTATCATGCGCCCCTCCAGGCAAGCTGCACAGGTGGCATCAGCATCAGCTGTTCCTGGGATTCTCTTCCTCTTATCACTGAAGTCTGAAAATTATTTTCCGTGTGCTTATTCATTGTCACAAGCACCAAAGAGACAGATTTTGTCATACGCAGATTGGTATTTAGTTCCTAATAAAGCCTTATGCACAACTGCCCAGAGCATGAGGATCCAACATCTCATTTCGTCAATAACTAATTCAGATGACTTACTAATCGTAAAATCCAACACGTGACAGTTCTTGAAATGAGGTGGCAGAGGACGTTAAACTTCAAGAAGCATATTCTTTTCCTGTCACAGCAATGAGAGCTTCTCTGCTTACCAGACAAATGCCAAAAGTAACCTCTACTCACAGACATGCTAATGCTGTGGAGAGTCTAAAATCACCACCTGTGATCCAACAGCTACCAACATGCAAAAAAAACCAGCAGTTTATGCTGGAACAGAGGAAGTCTTATGTTTTCATCTAACTGCACACATCTGATATTTTGAAGTGTATCAACTAAGACAGACTTTGTACCTTTTGGGGAGATGAAAAGGAAGACGAGAAAAAAGGGGGAGAAATTGAATTATTTTTTTTCTTTTCTGTGCACGAAGACGACTCAAAGTTCATGCACTTCAACGTTAGTACTGTTTTTTAATATTTGGTTTTCAAAGCAAATCAAAGTATCCAGAACAACTATTTTCAATGAAATAATTTGTCTAGATCACATATACATCCTGCTACCAAGCAGGAAGTTCATATGTGAAAAATAATGGTATAGAGAAACCTTCATAAAAGCATTGTGGCCTTGAAACCACAGCTGTACGTGCCTTCACAAAGTGCAGATTATATAGTCTGTGATGTTATTTAAGACTAGCAAATGAGTTGCCGTTACTCTTTTTGATGCTTGAATTACCACTACGCTATTTTTAAGCAAGTAAACATGACCAAGTACAACGATAGTGTTAATACTGCATTGAACTGCACTCATGATTGACTCAATTCCAAACCATAGTTCAAATTTATTAAGGAAAAAAGAAAACCACCAATTCCTACATCTTGCCAAAAGAACTCCAGGTAAAACCAACAAAACCCAAGAATGACCATTTCTCCATCCAGCAAACATGTTCAGATTTATTTATAGTGCTCAACTGAAAACCCCTAAACGAAAAAGCATCTTTTCTTTCTAACTAGTGCCTGAATTTTCACTTCCACCTATCGTGTTCAAATCCAAAGCACTCTACTGCTCCCCACCAAGAAAAAAGTGTTCTCAAAAATGACAAACACGGACTATTTCATCTCACCAGCTTTTCTCAATAAAACAAAATGCCAGCCGCTGCACAGACAGCGTGATGCCAAGGAGACTCAATGACAGAGAACACACTCACCGACAGGTAACTGCTGGAATCCACGTTGTCAGTGATGGTCTGACGCTCGCCCCTCTGGTTGATCTTCCTAAACCTCCGACGGGACTGCCTGAGTGGGATTTCTCTTTGCAAGATGTTTTCCTCATTGTCTTTGGAGTTCTCCACCTGAAACACATGTTCAGGCTCCTGGTTAAACATCCAGTTCTTCCATAGCACCGAGAGCCGATGGAGCCGTATGAAGCTCATGAGGAAGAAACAAACATAAGTTCAGAGCAGTTAAAACTTGTCTCAAGAAAACGACTGCAGACGTTTCGGAGAACCACTGCTGCATGTCTCAGAACTACGTTATTACAATGAGCCGGAGGCCACAGCTTCCTTCCAGGAAGCAGGGTTTTTTTTTAAATAATAAAAAAAAAAAAAGTAAAAAAGGCACACATATCCTCTGAACAATGTCACACACCAGCAGAAACCCTTTGGCACCCACACATATCATACAACACAAGTTAGAGACACTGCTCCTTTCAAGTGTATCTTCAACACAGAAGTTACCATTTCTTTGAGTATTTACAATCTGGTAAAGTCACTGAACTATATCCTATTTTTATTACTGTAATTTTTAAAAACATAACTCATTTCTAGTACCAGTCACAGCTAAACAACTTTAAATATTCCAGTTTTTTTTTATAAATTGCTACTTCACCTATGTCATACTGACTTCTAATCGCTTCCAGCAGATTACGAAGATATAACTGGAACTTGATTCATGTCTTGATATTAAATATTATTTGCAACTAAACATTAAAATTAGGTAAATTTATCCTGTTAGTAAAAGCCAACATGAAACCTTTTTATCTCACTAACGATTCCTTTTTTCTATAAAAAGCAGCCCCATCCTTTCCCATTTCCTTTTGATGTTTTGGAAAAATATCTCCTAGCAGGAAGCGGAACAGACATGCATGCAAATAGGCTGCAGCCAGCAAGAAGCTCCTCTACAATACATTTACTGTATAGGAGGTTCTACCGTCCTCAATTCCCCCCCCCCCCCCCCCCCCCAAATTTCACTTGAAAATCCTAAACGTAAGACTTCAGTACTGGAACAGGAGAACCACCTCTGTGTGGTCTTATGCAGCTCTCACTTCACATACTTGGGTAAATTATCTCAAAATTAAAATTCAAATTATAAGGGAATGAAAACCAGAAACACTTAACAGACGTGAACAAGAAAGTAACCAGAACACCTGAACCATCGCAAAAGCAAGATCACATCTACTTTCCACATCACTTTTTCCAAACAGCTACGTCTATCTGAGGTCAGAGGAAGGTGCAAGCAGCCTTATGGGTTATTTTTAATTCCACAGAGAAAAAGATACATTGATAACATAGGTTAAAGATACAATAGTCAAAAAGGAAGAGAGAACCTCACACCACAGTGTTATCAAAAAAGAAAGCAGAAGAGCAGAGTTCCCCTAGCAAGGGACAACCACACTTTTCACTAGAATTTTACCTGTCTGCAAAGGCACAGGACAATGAGCAAAGATATCTAGTAGCAGCGTTGCTGTAAGCATGATGTTATAAGGATGCAAAAAAAATACAAGGCATGCAGGCAGACAACAAGATAAAGCAACAAAAAAAAAAATCCTTTTAAACAGGGCATTTAGTATCATCAAAAAAAGTACTAAGACACTGGATACAAAAGCCCTTCCTCACCTAGCATAAACTATGGAGTTTTAGTTAGCAATAACGTTGCTCTCAAATTATACAGAAGCCTTCTAAAGTAAAGAAGTTTAGTTTCGTACAGAGTTACTCTAGTAAATAACCAGAGTTGTGTTGATTTCATTTTTAATTTTTGTACATGTGCTACAGTACACGAGCTCCTTCGATAAACGCGTTATTTCCTTTTTTCTCTGCGTTCAATCTTATAGGATCATAGAGACGAAAACAAGTGCTGAGCTTCTCTCATACAACAGACTAACCTGGATGCCGAGGGCCGCCGGACAATGACTCTTCCAATACTGATGACCCTTATTATTTATTAAGAAGCCCCAAACTAAACTGAATGGGTATTTTTAAAACTAAAGTAAAACAAACACTCACTCTAAGATGAAATTATTTTTCTTCCACAATTTAACTGAAAACTAAGAAGTGAGCATAAATATACTATTTGTTAGCACAAAGGCAAAACAACCAACTGCTAGTGGAAACTCAGAAACTGAGACCACCTGCTTCCTTCGGTTAATGCCACTGCTGCCGACAAAAACAAAACAAAAATCAGAAACCCAGGGAAGACCCCCACACCACATAGCTTCCAGTTTAGTACCACCAGCACAATTGGTATTTTGAGTCCAGCTGACCATCAGACTCTCTATGCTTATGATTTACAAGAAAACATGCAAATGGTTTTTGATATGCTGTACGCTGACAGGACAGGCAGGCCAGGGCTCCCTCACACTGCGCATCACTCAGCCGTGCTTTCACCTGGTTAAAACTAAAAATTTCTGTTGGCAGAGAGCATATTCAGCCTCCTCACAACCCCCAGAGTGGGATGAACACTCCTACAGAGGAATTCAGCATCTCTGCGGATGCTGCGAGCCGGGCCCCAGCACGGGAGCGGAGGGAGGACCGCTTCCCTGTGCCATCGCAGCAGCGGGGGGGGGTCAGGCTGATCAACGTGCCACCAGGTCAGATGGAGACTGCTGCCCCACAGACTCCTTCGTATTCTTTCCTTTTCAATATGTTACAGAAAGTCCAGAACAGCACGTTAACTGGCTAGTTCCTAATCAAGGGTGGTGTTTTTAATAACCTTGAATACTGGCAGCAGCAGAATGCTTCCACAGGGCCTGCTTCACCCACAGCACTTGCTGCCACGTAAAAATCGAGGAGGATCACAGGACTCTCCTGAACTTCACTCTGCAGTCCGTGCCAGCAATGAAATAGTTTCCATCTCCAAATGTCATGCTGCTCTTCTGAAGTCTTACACTTAGATGTGAAGAAGAAAATGAAAGCACCAAGGAACAACAGAAAGGAGACTTCAGTACATTGAGATATGCTGCAATTCTGGGCCATTTTCTTAAGTGATAAATGGACCTATTATTAATTCAATAGATTGCTCAGCCTCCAAAAATATGAGCTACAATGCCCATTCACACACTATCTGTTATCCTCATTAACTTAAGTTGACCACATTTTATGGCCTTTAAAACGGGTCAGTTCCCAGAGGATTCCCACTACAAAACTGATTTACATTCTAAAAAGAAAGAGGAAGAGGGGGAGGGGGAAAAAAAAAAAAAAATCTGTCAGCAGCAGGAACGATGGTGTTTAACTACATTAAAGTAGCTAATTCTTTTGCTTGAAAATAAATATTCATTATGTATGAAACCTCGTTAGTATGTTGCAAATTAAAAAAAAAAGCAAAAATAAAAGAATTAGGATAAATTAATAAGAATTAATCAGGGAAATGAAACTCAAGTACACCTTGTGTCAGTGCAGATCATTAGCAAGGTGGATGCCACCACACTGATGCTTTTCTCTCACCCCATTTGAAATCCTACCTAGAAAACTGACAGTTAATAGTACCTTTAGCTACATTTACCTGTAAAACATGAACATAAAAATAATGAAGTAACAACTTTGCACTTTCAGTTCTCTGATTTTCCTACAGAAAAATATAGTCAAGTTCCAGAAAAGGATTTAAGGTACTTTCAGGTATCTCTATATTTTCAGTGGGATTTAACTACAATTACAGAAAGTTCAAGAGGTTTAAAATACAGAGGGCAGTTGTCCAGGTTGTGCATTTGTCTGCAGGAACAAGTGGCAGCATTTGACATTGCTGACATGGCCAACGCTGGCTTCTCCAAAGACTGTGACAGTGTGCTCCTCTGAAAAAAAAAAAACAAACCCAAAACTCACAGTTTTAGCTACTCAAGCTATAAACACACACAACTTTCTAGTTTCTTCATAAAATATTTTAATACGGTCATTTTCCCTCTGGTAGCATACACTACTAAGAAGCTACTCTTTTGTTTGCATCTTCTTGTATTTTTTTTTTTACAACAAAGCTGATTAAGGCCAAACAAGGATGTCGGTATTGCCTAAGAATATCATATTATCACCTCTTTGGCCCATGGAATATATTTCATGTGAATTTGCGATGCACTTGCAGTGAATGAGTCACCAGCCAGCCCTGCAAGGAGAGTCACGTGCTTCCCATGCACGCTTCAGACTGCTCCCGCTGCAAACAGCGGCTGCACCACCGTCTATTAGGTTTTTGTAGGAAGCAGCACAACAGGTCTGGTAATGTCTGCAGCACCAGTTACAGAGAGTCATGTAACTGGCTTGTTACTGAAATTGGTCCAAACAGACCAAATTCTTCTGTTACATCAACTTGTAGCATTATAGAGATACAAAAGGTCTACATATGATCAGGTAAGTGAATGTTGGTCATTCTGTGCTAAAAGATGCCAGGAGCATTGGACTCAGCTCACCCCAGGCAGTGGACACAGGTGTAATCAGCACACCAAATCCTGGGTGGCAGTAGTTAACAGGCAAAAACGCAAAGCAGCAGTGGCAAACCAGACTGCCTGGGGCATTCACATGACATGGCTGCACATATCGTCACCCAGGCAGTCCTGTGGCATCCCTCAAGGCATAAATCTCTCCCCCAAACCTCCAGCCTTGAAAAGAGACTGCATAATTGGGAACACGCAAATGAACTATTTCACTCCGGAAGACTGAGGCAGGGTTCCTGCGCTCTTACCTGCACTTACTTCATGACATGGCAGACCGTAGCTTAAAACATCTGCTGCAGCAAAGAGCGTATTACTGATGCTAATCAAAGCCCATGAGCAGAATCAGACTGACACAGTACAGAAAGAACGGCACAAAGGACAGCAAGTGAATTCGGTCCAGGACATCTCTGACGTCCACGGCTGTTAGTGTACTGTGAGAGCCAAATTTCTCATAGAAGCTAATATTCACGTACTCAATAAGTAAGAGACATCATCAAATATTAGTTTCAATGTTACCGTATCTAGATACAAGGAAGCTAAATCAATCGCAGTTTGGAGATCTAAGCCTGCTTAACAGACATGTGGCTTCTCAGAACAACAAACGTTTTTGTTCCAGCTCCATTAGCAGCATCTCAAGATCAAAGTTGAAAGAGATCTTCCTGAGTCCCCAGCCACACTACTAGGGTACAATGCCGGTCTGCACTGTGGAAAAGCAATCCTAATATTCCAGCTGCTGACAGTATGTGTGCATCAACCTGCAAAGGACTGAGTTACAATCTGTAAGTACACATGAATTTGGCAATATTATTAAGTATTCTAAAGAAGCAGAAGAAAAGCTGGACATGGAAAAGGTTGATGACAACAGAGCTCAAAACCTTGTCCTTCAAGCTTGGCTAAGCACTCTTATGTTCCTTCTCCTCTTACCTAAAAGCCTTCACACTGTGTGGAGCTGCAAAGGCTAGGAGCAAGAGGGCCTTTCCTCCCAGACCCAGCATGGCTGGCACGGCCGCTAAGAAGCAATGAAATGGGGGGTGGGGATGCAACTAAAACATTTAAGATGGCAGTCTAGCGTTGCCTGACTCGGGAATGCTCAACTCAGCCGTAACTGGTAGGCTTTTGAAACTCAAGTAAGCATAATTTTAGAAAGAATGACCTAATCATCATCATCATTTACCCATCTAGATTAAATTTACATAGCTATTGCCGTTATGATAGCAGCCATAGGTATAATTGAAATCAAGGCAATTTTGCTGCAATTTTATAGAATACTTTACAATAAGCTTTCTGCTATAAAACAGAAAGAATTTGCTGAAACCAGCAATACATTTAAATACATTTGAAAAATGTGTCTTACCACAATCATTTCTGAAGGCTCCAATATGATGCATTCGCATCCTCGTTTTCCTCCAGACTGCTTGCCAAAACTAGAGTGGGATGGGAAAAAAGCAAACAAAAAAGAATGAGATGAACAGCCTATTTCACCTTTTCAGTAATAGAAATAATTGGCAATAGTGCGTGTTACAATATCCTTAAAAATGAAAAAAGACAAAGAAAAACCCACGAAAAGTATTGTGTGAAAAATTCTAACCACATAGTACCATTATCCTAATTTTTTTTAATTTACTCAGCACCTCTCATCATAGCCTGATATGTAAACCCTAAATATAAAGACTGTTCTCTTGTAAAATCATTATTGCTTGCAGATATCCAAAACCACTCACAATGTATTTCAGTGTTGACAAGAAAACATTAGTAAATGTTAATTAAGCATTTAACAGGCTTTGTAAAAACAAATACACATAAATTCCCAAAACTCCAAAGTACTTCTTTGCACATAGCCATTTTTAACGAAAGTTCCCTCCACTCCATGTTGCCCCTTCATCCTCCCAGCAAAGAGGAGCACAGAAAAGCTCTTCTCTAAAACTGAGCCTTAACTTGTGACCTCTGCCTTTATGTTGCTTCTTGTGCCATCACAAGGAGCATATCACCATGACGGGTTCTGTTTAAAGAAATATGAAAACACACAAACACAACGACATATGATGGGCAGTGTAATACAATGACTAAGGAAAGAGGCTTAAAGCAATTGGATGCACTTCAGCTGATCAACTCTAAAAGGCAACTACCTTCAGGACACTTCAGTAAAGAGGTGACTTCAGGGGAATCAGCTCTGGAGAAGGTACCATGCAAGCAGATCTGAGGGTGCTGGAACTACCAGCAATAAAGAGCTGAGCTAGATACTGCTGGGGTGGTGTAGGGTGTGTTATAGACCAATAACTTCTTAAATCACTTAATTTGTGATTGTAGTAACACATGGAATTAAAAATATCTGGCTTCACGTATTAACTAAGTTTGTCTTCACTACAGACCTGTTAGCTTGAGTTAGGCATGCTTGACCTACCCCACTCAACTGAGCTCAAGTGAAAGCAATCCCATACAGACATCAAATTAGGAAAAAAAAAACCCTACTTGATTAACAGCATCGTGGCTGGATTAGGAGTTAGTAGTTGTAGCTGCTGTGTTACAAACTCAGACTGTCAATAGCAATCACATTTTAACACGTATCAGCAGGTGAAATAACTGAAGAATCAGCTAACTCAAAGCTCAGATTAATGTGTGAATTTAAAGAAGGCTAAGACAAGTGTGGAGACAAATCCTAAAAAAGTGGGTCAGCTCCATCTGTTTTCACTAAGGTTACATTTAGAAAGTACATCTGAAACTTCAGCCACACAAAACATTTGAGTTACGTACACAGTCATCTCCACAGCAAATACCCACTGGAACATCACCACTTTGTAGAAAACGCTTAAAAGGCTCATCCTTATAAAATACCTGTTAGAGGAGCATACAAAATCCTTTTGTATGACATATGCGTTTTCAGGAAAGGAACTTGAGCAACTAAACTGTGAAGTTATTCAAGTGAAGCTTCAGATTATTCCAACAAAGTTATCACTGTAATCCAGTTAGGATAAAGCATTACAATTAACAAGAGCACGGCAGTTTAAACTGTAAAGTTTTGATTTTGCTAATGGTCTACTGAAAAAAAAAAGTATTTAAATTACATGATTGCCACAGAGTCATAAACGACAACTGAAATTTTCTCACCCCATGCTATAGCAGGCCAGAGAAGCACAAGTTTCACACAGAAAACTGGCATTTTCACACATCTATAGTAAGGAACCGATAACTAAAATTTTCATGCCTTCCTTCATGTTTTTTCCACGCAGCATGTGATCCAGGCATGACAGTCTTGTGTATTTGCAACACATCAAAAATGGCCAAACTACTCCCACTATTAAAACAAAGTCTATGTCGTTCAGCAAATACAGAAATGTCCTTTTTCATGTAACCTCTAACTTCGAGGCGAACTGGAATTCCATGTTATGATTTCTCCACAAACCAAAAACCAAAGTGAAGCCAACTTTGCTAAGGTATCATTTGCAATTGTGAAAAAAAAAAGTTTAACAGTTCTAATTCTATTCCATACAATTGAAGACTGAAGACAATACTCCCCTTCCCCCCCCAAAAAAAATTCTATAGGAATTACATACAACTGGAAGTTTCAGGTTTTGCAGCTTTTTAAAACAGAAATAATCATTACCGGTTTTATCACAAAATAGATTACTACTATTGCTATATCCCCAGTAGTTAGGAAAAAGCTACAATTTGCTGCTGCAGGTTGTTCAAGCACAATATTTTTATTGTATAACAACAATTTATCAAACTACTGGAGGTTGAGGGAGAGTTGTTTTCTTCTTGTTTTGTTTTACATAAACATATCCATGAAATTCATCTACTGTCAAGCTCCCCTCTGCTTATGTTGCAACATTTGCTAATTAAGTAACGGCAGTAAACAATAATGGTAGGAAAAAAATGCTGCTTGTAACAAAGCTCAAGCTCTTGGCACTATCATTTCTGGCCCATCAAGCACTTTACAACAACCAAACACTCAGAAAAGGATTATGTTCCAAACACAAAACCCACCCTTCTAGTCCTAAAGGATAAACTACTCATATTTACAAGTTAGTAGGTCAAGTTTAATTATTTCCTGGTGCGCATCATGGGATGTTTTATCGACTAAATCACAACAGAGCTCCTTCAAAAAGAGGCGGCATCATATGGTTTTTCCCCAGCCATGAACACCACCATGCTAAAAACTGGTATTTTAAAAATATTCTTCTTAATCAACATACCCATGTTTTAGAAACATGGATTTTAACTTTCTTCATGACTTATTCCATATTTTTCTCTAGAATACAAATGTGTAGCTTCTCTAACATTTAAGAGGTTTGCTGACATCAGTGTATTTCACTAACCTGCCAATTTTAACCAAGGCTTCAAAACGATGTTCGTTCCTAATTGCCTTGTAAAATTACACAATGAAATGTTTAGAATAAGCAGAAACTCAGCCCTGAAACCATTCACCAGGGAAGACTTTCTTCAGTAGCAACGTCCACTAACATTAATAACAGGCAACAAGAAAATATCATTAGCAAATACATAAGCAGAGAGGCACACATGTTCATCTGATAGAAGATGGTAATGTATGACATTTGTCACAATTTTTTTTTTTTTAACTAAAGACCATTAAAGTTCAACTATTTGCTTTATTGGTTTATTGTCACAGAATTAGAGTCTTAACTAGTTCAGGTGAATACATTAGGAAAAATTAAAAATAGCCACAAGCAGGGTGT